ACAGTAGATCCAGAGAACGGTAAAAAAAAAACCCCAGCAAAGCTTGATCCAATTTGCTCCTGCAGGGAAAAAAATTCCTTCCCAATCTCCCGAGAGGCAATCAGATATTCCCTGGATCAACTTTACCTATAAATGTTAGTATCCAGTGATATTCTGTGTATCTAGGAAAGAATCCAGGACTTTTTTGAAGCAATCCACTGAGCTGGCCAAAACCAACTCTTGAGGGAGTCTATTCCAAATTTTCACAACTCTCACTGTGAAGAAACCTTTCCGTGTTTGGAGATTACATTTATTTTCCTCCAGACGTAGAGTGCCCCCTTGTCTTCTGTGATGACCTCAGAGTGAATAGCTCTACACCAAGTTCAATATATGAACCACTGATGTATTTATACATGGAGATAATATCCCCCCTAATCTCCTCTTCTCAAGAGACTAAATTCAGTTCCTCTAATCTTTCCTCATAGCTGAGCTCCTCCATGCCTCGTATCAGTTTGGTTGCCCTTCTCTGTACTTTCCAATGTTCTTTTTGTGAATTGGTGCCCAAAACTGAACTGCATATTCCAGATGAGGTGTTACTAATTATTTGTACAGGGGTAATATGATATCTCTCTCTGGAGTCTATACCTCCTTTAATACAAGAGAGGATTTTGCTCTCTTTAGAAACTGCAGCTTGGCATTGCATGCCATTATTAAGCTTGTGATCTACCAGAACCCCCAGATCCTTCTCCACCATTGATTCCCCCAGTTGTACTCCCCCTAGTATGTATGATGCATGCATATTCTTAGCCCCCCAAGTGCATAACCTTACATTTATCAACATTAAACCTCATTTTCCACATAGTTGCCCAATTAAACAGTGCATTGAGGTCAGCTTGTATGTTGGAGACATCCTGTAAGGACGTTATTCCACTGCACAGCTTGGTGTCATCTGCAAACACTGAAATGGGATTTTTAATCCCAGACCCTATATTGTTTATAAATATATTAAAAAGTAAGGGTCCCAGCACTGAACCTTGGGGTACACCACTGACAACCCTAGACCATTCAGAGTATGAATCATTAACCACTACTCTTTGAATACAATCTTTTAGCCAGTTTTCTATACATTTACATACAGATTTTTCCAAGCCTGTAGACCTTACCTTACACATTAGCCATGTGTAGGGAACTGTGTCAAACGCTTTTGCAAAATCCAAGTATACCATGTCTACCGCCACCCCTCTGTCCAAGGTTTTGCTCACCTCCTCATAAAAAGAAATCAGATTTGTTTGACAACTTCTGTCTTTCATGAATCCATGCTGTCTGTTGCTTAAAATATTTTTTTCCAGCAAGAACTCATCTATGTGGTCTTTTATTAAACTCTCCAGTATCTTCCCAACTATAGAAATTAAACATGTCTATAATTATAATTGGTAAAGATTTTGACCCCTTTTTAAATATTGGCACCACATTGGCCTTACGACAATCCAGTGGTACTATGCCAGTCATTAAAGCGGAGTTCCACTCACGCTGTCAAAAAATAAAAAATCAGCAGCTACAAAAACTGTAGCTGCTGACTTTTAAAAAACAGCCACTTACCTGTCCCTCGGTCACGTGGTGTGTCCCCTGCAGCCCATTTCACCAGCAGTCCTGTATTCCAGGAGGCCGGCATCTTCAGTGTGGGCACCTGGCTGTGATAACTTGCGGCTTCACAGCTGGGTACCCACTGGGCATGCGCGAGTAGCGCTGCGCTTAATGAATGGTCCAGTAGTCTTCTGGGACCTGTCACGTGTCCCAAAAGACTACAGGGAGGACACCTTCCGCTTCCGATTGGAAGTGGGAGCAGGTACCTGTCAAACCCCCAAGGTGCCAATCCTTAATGGGGAGCAGTCCTTAAAGCGGAACTTCCCCTTTTGGGTGGAGCTCCGCTTTAAAGAGTCCCTAAAAATTAGAAACAATGGCTTTGAAATGACAGAGCTAATTTCTTTATGGACTCATGGGTGTATGCCATCCGATCCAGGTGCTTTATTCACCTTTATTCTGTCTAAATATTTTTGGATCAAATCAATTGTGAGCCAATGTGGATCATCTGGAGCTGTGTCAATACCATGCCCATTATGGACAAGAGCTCACCCATGCTCCTTTGTATACACAGAGCTGAAGAATGTATTTAATAAATTTGCCTTCTCATTGTCCCCAGTCACCCACTCTAGATTATTTTGTAAAGGGCCTACATGCTCGGAACGGACCTTTTTACTATCAATATATTTGAAGCATTTTTTGGGGTTGGTCCTGCTATCTTTTGCAATTGCTCATTCTTTTTCAATTTTTGCGGCCTTTATTTCCTTTTTGCATATTCTGTTACATTCTTTGTATGCATTCTGAATTTTCGGTATCAGTTTCAGCACCAGAATTTTCATTTTGGTGCACTAGTTTAATCAGTAGTTTTTGTATGAAAAAATACATTACATCACTTCCAAAATTCTATGCGGTCATGTGAGAATTTTTGTAAGTTGAGTAACCTCTTCATTTTCGATATGGAGACAGCATGAAAAGAAAAGGACGATCCTTCGTCTGATATTCTCATCGTGTGTACAGGGCTTTTGTGGGTAAAGAGATACCTTATATCTCTATTAGTAGATCTTTTTCAGTGCAGAGTAAATATACACTTTAGTAAGCGATAATCCATGAGTAATTACCTGCTAACGGTCCTGTGGATGTTAGGCTGCTTTGGGAAGTCTGATCTTGACTCAGTCCTACCGGGGCTTTTTTTTGGGGGGGGGGGGTCTTCTACTCTGGTTAGAGCATCCAAGAGAAAGTACTGCTGGGCAATGAGAGGGTCCAGTTTAGAGACAATGCTGGTCTTGCGGCTGGTGAGGTAGCAGATCTCTGAAAAAGCCACACATGCGCAATGTTACTACAGAATTCTCCAGCTGTCGCATGTTTCAGCGAAGAGCTTCACTTTCCCAGGAACCTCTTTTTATACATATATTTATTCTTTATCGGTTTTTATGTGACATTTATGGGTATTGCTATATAGAGGATGTCGCTGATGACATTTTATGACAAGTTATCTTTTCTATTTACAAAGTTCCACTTTGTCTGCAAATACCGTATTTTTCGCTCCATAAGACGCACCTGACCATAAGACACACCTAGGTTTTAGAGGCAGAAAACAGGAAAAAAAAAATTCTGAACTAATGGACTGCAGACACAGTACAGGAGATGACCAGAGACTGCGGACACAGTACAGGAGATGATCAGAGACTGCGGACACAGTACAGGAGATGACCAGAGACTGCGGACACAGTACAGGAGATGACCAGAGACTGCGGACAGCACAGGGATGACCAGAGACTGCGGACAGCACAGGGATGACCAGAGACTGTGGATAGTACAGGGGATGACTGCTGACCTTTGGGGGGGGGGGGGGGGGGCGGGTACCTGAATTTGACAGATACCCGCTCCCACTTTCGCGGAGTTGTTCTTTCATCTTACCTGTTCCTCTATCCAGCCGCGAGCTGTCTTCCCGGCTTCTGTAATGGCGCTCGGCATGACAGCCGAGTGCCCAGTGCACATGAGCGAGAAGCAGTTGCGCTTTTGTGATTGGTCCGGCGGCTTCTGGGATCTGTCATGTGTCCCAGGTGCCGCCTTACCATTCACAAAAAGCAACGCTTCTTGCGCATGCGCACTTGGCACCCGGCTGTCATACCCACACTACAGAAGCCGGGAAGACCGCGCCGCTGGATAGAGGAACGGGTAAGATGAAAGAACAACTCCACGGAAGTGGGAGCGGGTACCTGTCAAATTCAGGTACCCGCTCCCCCTCCCTCCCCAAAGGTCAGCAGTCATCTCTATAAGGTCCCGCTGTAGAGCTGAGCGGCCGGCCCGGTATTCTGACACGGCGGCAGTGGAAATACCGGACCGGCCGCTCCATATTCGCTCCATAAGACGCACTGACATTTTCCCCCCTTTTTTGGGGGGAAAAAAGTGCGTCTTATGGAGCGAAAAATACGGTAGTTTTAATACAAATTCTCATAGAAAAAAAAAAGCTAAGATTTTACTGTGTTCTGAAATTTAAAAATTATTTTTCTCCACTTTATGAATAGATATAGAGATGAATGAGAGTGTTTTCTCAAGTGCTTTTACTGCCTGTTCAAACAAAAAAAAATGTAAATGCTTAAATCTGCATGATCTGGGCACAGGTTAATTTTAATGGCGCAAACTGAAATAAACCATGGCAACTATTCAGTTAACCTTTCAGTTACTTGGCTTCAGTAAATGGAAATATAATTGCTATTAGTACTGTCCTCTTCAGCTTTGCTCTAAACTGCCTTGCTGAATATGCCTGCAAGATTTTTCCCACATAAAGCTTTTTAATGAAAATGAAATTAGGTTTACGTGGTCAAGAGATACAGAAGAAGTGCCCATGATAACCTGTGCTAGTTGGGAATAGTGCCGCCAATAATGAAATTCTAAAAAAAAGTTAGCTATCTGGCATTTATGGCTTAAATACTGTCTGAATCAGTAAGTTGGGAGAAGCATGCCACAACTAACATCAGAACTCCCAATCTGCATACTTTTTGAGCCAGTGACACAAAAGTCATTTAATTTGGATACCAGCTGAGCAACAAACATTTTCAGAAGTTTGCCAGCAATTACACCCTCCATAATTCTCTTAGCACAGGCTTTCCTTAAAGTCAAGTTTGTCTTTAAACTCTGTATTTTTAGACACTGACTGGGCAATTTTCAAATGTGGATATAACAATGTTCAGTAATTTTCAAGACATCACTTCCTAATAATCACAATCAAAAGTTGCTACTTTATAGGTGTGCTCTTTGTTACTTGCCTAGTCAAATGAGTTTACAATACAATAATACTATATGAAAAGCTATTGCTGCCAAAACCGTAACACTCTTACAAAAAATAGATATATATTTAATTTTTTTCAAAAAGATGCAAACATTTACACAAAGTGTATACAACAAATCAAGACGGACTCCATTGGGAAATAGCTGTATTAGTTGTTTTGAGTCATCTGTTGCATAACAACTGCAAAAAGACTGAGCATTTGCAGGTATTCATCTGCTCCATCCACCAAACATTTGTCAACTTCCTGCCAAGAGAGATGAACATAATTAGTAATAATAGTCTTCAGTAAGATAACACATTAAAATTCCTCCTGCATAAAAAAGAATGTGACTGGTTATGTAGTGAGATTTGTATCCTGAAGTGCAACTCTTACGGCTGTTTAGGGCCAAACCGCGGTGCATCTGCAGTTTTTGTGCAGGTTACCCAAAGTTTCCCATAGACTTCTATTATATCCTGCATTTTCTGAATGCACACCAATGATGAAGCATGCAGCACCTTTGGGGCGCTTTCAGAAAATTTGAATGACAATTACTCAGTCATGCAACACTGTACCCAAATGAATTTTATATAATTTTTTGAGACAAAAAGTTTATTTTTGGTGGTATTTTAAACACCACTTTTTTTTTTTTTTTTTTGCTATATAAAAAGGAAAAACGTTGGAACATTTTGGGAAAAAAAAAATCATGCTTTTCTTAGTTTCTGTTATACAATTTTGCAAATAATCTTTCTTCATAAAAATTAGGTCAAAATGTATTCTCCTTCATTTCTTTTTCGTGAAAAATAATTGTATATTATTTAGTTTGTGTGAAAAGGTATAGAGCAGGGGTGTCAAACGCCATTTCCATTTCATCGCGGGCCATATCAGCATTATGGTTGCCATCAAAGAGTCGGTTGTATCTGTAAGACTAGATGTCCAGAGCACCCCCCCCCCCATCGGATGTCAAGAATCCCATACCGTGCCTAACATCACCGTGCACCCACTTTGGGGGCAGAGCTGGAAAGCAGAAAGTGCAGGGTCTGTAGAAGGACCCGAGGAGGAGTGGAGTCAGTTACCAGAGTCTGCTGAATGCTGAAACTAGGGGAGGCAGAGATGAGGGGGTGCTGCAGCTGCATTGAGAGGTGCAGGATTTGGCAGAGGAGTTCTATTCTTCTCTCTGTTGCTGACTGCTGAGACAAGGTGGGGGCGGAGACAAGGGGGTACCTGCAGGAGAGGTGTAAGGGCCACATGAAAAATGGCCTGGAGGGCCGGATTCGGCCCACGGGCCTTGTGTTTGACACCTGTGGTATAGGGTCTACAAACTATGGTATATTTGAAAATTGATCATGTTCTGACTGCTAACAATTCTCCCTAAATAAGGTCTACAAATAACCTCAAACCCTTACAGGATGTCTTTGACTTACAAGCCGACCTCAATGCACGGTTTAATTGGGCAACTATGTGGCAAATGAGGTTTAATGCTGATAAATGTAAAGTTATGCACTTGGGGGCTAAAAACATGCATGTATCTTACAAAGGGGGAGTCAATGGTGGAGGAGTAAATAAGACACCTAACGTGTCATACTTTAAAATTGCGCACTCCTGCGAAATGGCACCAAACTATGGTATTTAAAAGTCTCCATAGGCAATGCCTTAAAAGCCTTTGCAGGTTACCAGCGGAGAGGTACAGAAGAGGTCTGGTGGTAGTATTACTGCTCTCGCTCTGACGCTTATGGCAATTGGACCCCAGATGTCTCCTCTGCCCTTAAAAGCATTTGATCAAACAAAGAAAGGTGTGATCAGATGCTTTCCGATTTAAAAAACAGCACTGTTTACAGCTGGGGAAACTATACCATAGAGCTCATCAGGGAACCTTCTGGTCCTTGAAAAGCTCTATGGTGAGCTAGTAGGACGAAGACACGGAAAGGCACTTGTGGGCGATCCACCGCCTATAAAAGCAATCAAGCAGCTTTTATAACAAAATAGATGGCCTCCAGCAGTAAAAAATTATACCGGTAAGATGCTTGTTGAAGTTGTTCAAATCCTTCTCTAAGCAGTTCAGCTTTACTTGCCTGCCCCTCCTCCACCACAATTCCAAAGTGATATTAGCAGTCTTCCAGATCTCTGTAAACAAGGGCACAGGCAAGGAAGAGCACGGTATGCTGCACTGCTAAGAGAATGACTTAAGTGTTTCCACTGTAAACTCTGAGGCTGAATTGCTTCACACTGGCTGCAGCTCCATAGTTTCATACGGCAATCTTGTAAATCTATAGCCTGGCCACAAACACACTTTAAAAGCATCAAAATATCAATAAAAGTTAATGTTATGTTGTGAATGCCATGCATTAAAATTTTATATGAACACATTTAACAAAAATAGAACAAATGCAAGACTTACAGCAAGTTTCTCTGCAATAGCTGCTTTCTGTTTATCGGTCAGGTCCTCTCGTTCAAGGATGATATCATGGAGTTGGTTTACAAGCTGTGTTGCTGCATGGCCATTATTTATCAGACTCTGTGGAAGGAATACATTTAAAAATTCCAGTTAAAAATAGGACTTGTGTTTTTAGGACTATTTTTACAAACAAATGTTATAAAGGGTTTCTGACACTTAAGCCAATAACTTAACAGGTGCTCTTACCATAACCATGGTTTCTAGTTTCTCAAATAGTCCACTCTGACAAGCAGCCAGTACTGAATTAAGTGTGTCTTTAGGGATCACCTGTTAAAATAAAATTCAAAATGTTTTGTTCAACATTAAATATATGCAGATATGTGGTACCAAGAAAAGTAATGAACATAATCACATGAGCCAACACACCAGCCATGTTGGATAAAGTGGGGAATGTTCAGACCCTCTGCCAGGTTTTTATCACATTCTGTTTCCAACTGGTAGCCTTTTTTTGACAGACATAAAGCCAGAGAAAGGTGTCAAGAGGTGGAAGGAAGTGAGACCACTGGTGTGTGGGTCTATCGTTCAAAGATTTGACTCTGGAGCCTTTATAAAAAGAAAAAAAAAAAAAAAAAAAGGAAGAAGAATCTCCAAGGCACCCTGGTAAAGCTCAGGGTTAATTAAGTTTTAATGATATAGCACCGCAAGGTATAGTGGATTCAGCAATGTAAAAACTACAATGAAGTGTGGATAGATAGTGAATAAATCTCATCACAGTTGCTATTAAAAGTTAGAGGATACCTCATATGAGAGATATACTGGTAGGTTTATAGAAAACCAGGCAAAAGCCACGCTGCTGCAGTAGCCTTAGTAACAGGTCTACAGACCAGCCAGAAGGCTGGTTACTACAGTAATTAAAATAGATGATTTAAGGAGCATTACGGGACATGTATTGTTAAGTGGATGGGAGTGAGACTATCAAGGGGTGAGAGTGAACCTCTAATGCAGATAAGGTTTTTAAGCAGGTCTGGTGGACTTGGTGGTGGAGGGTCTGCCACACAGTGAAGGACCTTCAGAAGATGATGACTATCTGAGGGGGTGAACAGATCATATGCATAGCGCAGAGAAGGCCCATTCAATAAGGAAGTGTGATTTAGTATAATTGAGTAGGAGTCCTCTTCCTCAGTACCCACTTCAATGTTTTGCCCAGGGGAATTTCTAAAAAGAGGGGGGAAAAGCACCTTTCATGAGGGTGTTCCAATGACCAACTTTTTAGCCATACGATTCTGCATAGAAAAAAAGGACAGTATTGGGATCTGACAGATCACATTCTCCAAGGAGTCTATACAGAAGAGCAGTGCTGAGGCCAAGAGTTGTAATCCTGCAGAAAGATTAGGATCATAAACATGTCGAGAGAGTTTACTATTGATTTCTCTCATCTAGTTTACCATAGTCTGGCAAGGACCAGACAAGGCAAAAGAGGACTTCAAAAGAGTCTCCAAACATCTGTCAACCGAATCTTTAAAGTAGAAAATGCCATCAATGGAAACAGTAGATCGACTATCGAATGCAAGACAGGTCAGGTCCATAGCGGGAACAGTCAATTTTTCTTAAACTCCCATTCTATACTGTACAAAGCAACAAAATTATGAGGAAGAAGTAACCTCACTCACTTGGGCAAATCATTAGATAAGGCTCAATTGGCTTGATGAGGAACACAAAGAATCCTTCTAGGAATAGCCACCTTTTTTGTGGTCGGAAGAATATGTAGGGGGATGGGCTGTATTAGGTGCACATCCAGAGACTAGAACATACTGCTTCAAGCAATGAGTCTGCATTAGCAAGCATGTGGTAGGAATCGGGATGATGTCAGTGGCAGTTAATCAGTATCAGATTGCCCGCCGCACTCCCACAGTCACAATTATAAGTTGCTGATCACCACTGCCATTAGAAGTATTAAAAAAAAAATCCAGTATATATACACACCATAGTTGTAGGCGCTATAACTTTCATGCAAACCAGTCAATATACACCGATTGGGATCTTTTTATTTTATAAAAGACGTAGCAGAATACATTTTGGCCTAAATTTATGACGAAATTTGATTTTATTTTTATTGGATATATTTTATAGCAGAAAGTAAAAAATAGTTTTTTTTTCAACATTTTTGGTCTTTTTTCATTTATATCGCAAAAAGTAAAAAAACCCAGTGGCAATCAAATACCACCAAAAGAAAGGTGTATTTATGTGAAAAAAAATTATATACATTTCATATATTCTTTGGGTACAGCGTTGAATTACCAGTTAAAGTAGCACAGTGCAGTATAGCAAAAAATAGCCTAGTCATGAAGGGGGTAAAACCTTCTGGAACTGAAGTGGTTAACTAAACCCAGCAATGATAGCTCTCAGTCTGCTGGCACTTAGATTGTGGTCCTGCAACCTGGAAAAACTTTGTGCAGGGTGAGGCTGAGAGTGTCATTGTACCATATCAGTGACAGCACAGTGTGAGATTGACCAGTCATTTGTCACAAGTCGGTGAAGAGGGCAGTGGTCTGACCTACGTTTGTCACACCATGAACCAAGATGAGCGCAAAATGCAGGATGCAGTGCACGAAGCAAACATTACAGGTGAACCCCACTGTTGCAGGTTCTGACCATGGGGCTCAAGATGTACATCGCGGGTAACCGATCTATCAACTGCCAAGGAGCCATAAGATGCCAGCTGAAGGAAAACTAGTGAAAAAATAGAAAAACAAAACTCCAACAGGAGAAGGGATGCCTAAGGATGCTAGCAAAAAAAATGAAGTCTAAAAAGGTCGGCAGGGCTATATGTATACACTGGGGGGGTTCCCAGCAAAGCTTTTTTGCTAGTATACAATCACTTAAAGGTAGCGGCGCATAACCCATGGTCTAAGAGTCAACTCCTGTGTCTGGTACTGTAAAATTAAGATGAGAGACATCTAATTCACCTAGGACACAAACAAGAAAAGATTGAGGCATGCTGGAAGTAGACATATGAGTAATACTCTGCGCTTACAGTTTTTTTGTATACCAATGCCCAGCCCTTCTGTAGGTGGCAATATAACCCAAATTTTTAAGATATTCTGTAACTATAATGGATAAGAAAAAAATTTATTTATTGCAGTCTGTGAATATTTCCCCAGCATCGTGTGTTACCAGTCCAGTAAGCCTGAAATTATATCCCCCATGGGGAGCAACATAGCAAACCAGGGCTTCCAGCAGGCCAACAGAAAGAACAAGGGTTAAAGAACCCAAATAACAGCTTGAAGCACCTTATGCCCAAAGCTTGGATCAGCTGAGGGCTGAACATCCACTTGAGAATGTGTGGACAGAGGACCAGGTGGCAGCTTTGCAAATCTGAGATACAGATGCTTGATGCTGAAAAGCCCAGGAGACACCAATAGCCCTGGTGGACTTCGCTCTGTTGGGGAATGGGGGAACACTTCCCTTTAGTGCGTAAGCTCTGGAAATAATTTGTCTAAGCCACCTGGCAATGGTGGATTGGCAAGTAGGATGTTCACTATGAGGACCTCCAAGCAACACAAAGAGTAAGTCTTATGATTTAAAATCACCTTTTTACCATGCAAATCAAGAAAAGCTCTTTACAAGAAAGAACTGACAATTCAAAAACAAACCTAATAGACATAATAATGACCAGGAAGGCAACCTGTGAGGTTTTCCATGGGAATGTCTATATTTGGTTAATAAGGGTATCTCTGAATGGAGGGCAAGAGTTTTCTGAAGAGAATGAATAAAACAGAGGCTATTCAGGTACAAATGCTGACCAAGGCCAGATTGAAGAAGGCCCAAATTCATGCAATACAGAATTCTCTAAAGTTCAGTCATCTGTCTTCACACCAGGCAAAGTTAGCTTTCCATTTGTGATGCTAAATCTTGTAGGATTTGGATTTTCTAGCTCTGACTAAACTGGGAATGTAAGTCAGAAATAACCCTATCTTTTAGGACTGGGTTTCAACAGCCATGCTATTAAAGCCAGTGACTGAGAAGCAGGATGGAATACGGGGACCTTAGGCCTGCGAATCTGTTTAGAAGAGGTGAAAGCTTATCTTCCAGAAGTCTGGGTATGTCTGTGTACCACATTCTTCAGGGTCAATTTGGTACAATGAGAATCACCATAAATAAGAATCAGAAGAATTGTGATCAGAAGGGAGTACGACACCACATCCCTAAATTAGGAAATATACCAAGAGAAGAAAAAAAAAATAGAGAGAAAAGCTATATTTTATTCTAGTGTCCAATTTGGACCAAGAAGCATTTTGGTTTTCTACGATGTAACACTATCAAACATGATGTTAATTGCTGCATACTGAGTACTCAGAACTACTGATGGTTATGTCATCCTTTTCATAGGTATATTGGTGATTATTTAAGCTTTTTGAGCATTTTTTGAAAACTATCAGAGGTGGTTGATGTTTTTACTCTTATGTTTAGCTTGATTGTGCCCCTTCAGCAATCATCTGAGGTGCCAGCCTGTCCGGGCTTATTTGAGCATTTTTTGTCCAACTTAATTGTACTATAATCTACATCCTACTTGTCTATTTGAGCCAGTATGAACTATTTGGTGAGTTGCCCTCCATTAATTTTCAATCTTTGAAATGTCTGTATGAGATTTGCATTGTGTCTTGTTTTTGAGCTATATATTGAAGGTATTTAACCTTATTGTTATATTAAATAACTATCAATTCACTATTATAGGTGTCATATTTAAGATCTCCTGAAGAAGCCTGAAAAGGTGAGATGTAGAGAGAAATATTGCACCAGAATATTTTTGAATAAGTATCATCATGAATTTTTATATATTTCAATGCATTTTTTTTTAAAGTGATTTGATAAATATTGTAACATTTTAGCTTTCATTATTATCTATATTTTTTGTGGAACCTCAAAAATCCCAGTATTTTTCTTGTAATGTGAGTTTTTTTCTTCTTTGCTTGGCATAAATCAGAATCTTTTCCTCCTATCTGCACAGCAGTCGAAGAAGGATCTTCATCAGAGGGAGGGCATAGGCTAGTTTGAAGCGAGTGCACAGAATCACCAGAAAATCTACTGCAAAGGCTAGAGGATCCCTAGTCTTGGCTACAAATTTTCCAGCCCATTATTGAACCTGGAGGCCAGGATGTCCACATCTGGTATTCTCCACCTTTGACTAAGATTTTGGAAGATCCCAGGATGCAGAGACCACTCTCCAAAGTCTAGTAGTTGGTGACTTAGGTATTCTGCATGTCAATTGCCCATTATAGGGATATGGAAGGCTGAGAGAGTTGGAATGCAAGTTTCTGCACATGAGAGTAGCAGACTTCTCCTTGGGCAGGCTGGCTTCTGGTGCCTTCTTGACGGTTTATGTAGGTCACTCTTGTGGCACTGTCTGACTGCTGACTGTGTGGCCTTGCAGAAAGGAGGTCCAGTGTTGCGAGATAACTTACTGGCTCTCAGTTCCAGCATGTTGATGGGAAATTTCAACTCTTCTGAGGACCATATCCCCTGGAAATTCAGGGAGAAGTAAACTCTTACATGCATAAAAGTGGCCACCCGCCCAAGTCTATAACTGGCTTATGAAGCAAGGACACATAAACAGGCATCACATAGTGAAAAAAAGGGGGAGAGAACAATGTTCTTGGACAACTTGCCAGCCAGCTTGCTAACAACCGAATTAACCTGTCTAACAGTATGCGTTTATAACAGGGGTTTAGTTAGCACACATTTGCAAATACATACGTAAGCCACAGAGCCACGACACGGCACCCTGAACATGCTGGGGTCCAGTGCACTCCTTTGCCTTTAAGAGGGGTGGCTCCCTCAGGTCCACCTGCCCTTGATCTATCCATTAAATGCATGTGCCTCTACTATGGGGACTCATAAATTTTAGAGTTAGGACCACAGATGATCAGGGTGCCGGGTGCCGTGTCGTGGCTCTGTGGCTTACGTATGTATTTGCAAATGTGTGCTAACTAAACCCCTGTTATAAACGCATACTGTTAGACAGGTTAATTCGGTTGTTAGCAAGCTGGCTGGCAAGTTGTCCAAGAACATTGTTCTCTCCCCCTTTTTTTCAAGAAGTAAACTCTTCCCCAGCCTATAAGGCTGGCATTCCTTACCACTGCCTTCCAAGGCATGTGAAGGAACACCTTTCCCAATTCCATGACAGATATTCCACCAGATTAGGGAAAACTTCAGTTGGATAGGAGCACTGTGTGATCCAAAGATTGGATCTGCTTGTTTCACATCGGGAATATACCATATTGAAGAGGATTGGAGTGAAATTGGGCAAAGGAAACTGCCTCAATGTAGATTATCATTAAGCCCAGAACCGTCATGCAGAAGACAACTGAGAGGTGCCATTTTGACCTGAGAGTCCTGTACGTAAGACCTTAAGGAAGTTATTTTTCTCCTGGGGAAGGAAACATGGAGCAATGGAATAAGGCGGCCTGGTCTGATGAAATCAAGAATGGTTTGAGGAATGCAACCACTTCAAGGCGTTTTCTAGGCCTCCAAATTCTCCAGATGTCAATCCAGTCGATCCATGGAAGCCCCACCTCACAATTTACAGGACTTCAAGGATCTGATACTGATTGCATACTGCTAGTCCATGCCTCAGTGGGTTATGGTGGGTGGTCATAATGTTATAGTTGAACGGTGTATGTTATAAAAAAGCAGTCCTTGAGTACCTGTTTAGCAACTTTGTCTAGGCTTGGGCTGAGGTCATTTGTAGGCTGCCAGCAGGAGGAAGCATATCCTCAGTGATCTGTCCAGGAAGTAGATGCTGACTCTAGATAATGCCAAATTCTTTTGATGGGGAAACACAGAAAAGGCATTGGCAAGGGAATATTGTGATCTCCATGAGAGGTAATAATTAACTGTAAGTCCTAATTAAGGTGTATATAAAGTCAAAACATTTTTTCAAATTTGAACAGAGGTGGGGAATTCTTAGATCATTTGTAATTTTTTTACTGTGTATCCGCTGGGGTGATTCACACTATTTGTCCTTCAGACCAATGTCACTATCATAGAAAGTGGGAGGAATCCTCAATTTTACAACTGTTGGCAACAAAAAAGTTAAAGATAAACGTTTCAATGGAAACACCTGTTCTAGTGACATCTTACAGTGGAATAACTGGCGCTCTGTGGGGAATTCGTCTCACTTCCTGTTTCATTTCTGGGACAGAAATTTAGGCTACAGACAGCACAAAATATTCTGACAGGTGTTTTAACCCTTCCAAACTGCACATGGTTTATTTAATTTTGGATAAAGGTCTATTCAAACGACTGTACAGAGAGAAATGTTCTAAGTAATAGGACATCGAGACTCATGGTAAAAAGGAGCATGTAATAAAATTATCTAATTTCATATAGCACTTCTTACCCCTGCTATTTCTGTCACCACAACATCTGTAATTTCTTTTCCTGCAGTAAGTCTTGTAGCACTTTGCAGAAAAGTGATGGCTTTTCTCAAGTCACCTTCTGATACTTCAACCAAACGGGATACTGCCTGCAAACAAATACAGCATAGCCCATCAGCAAGCAACACAAGTGGTCTATCAATGCCAAACTCCACTAACCAACAAAATTGGCCATCTTGCAAATTTATTTACAACAAAATTCATCCTACGCTTAATTCATCCAAGTGTGAACATCTTGTGTTGATTGTCCTCACAAATTGGGAAGTTAACTGGATATTTTCTGTAAGATATTATGATATGCAAGTGCTACTGTTTTTAATTACACTAGTGAGTTGATAAGCTTGCATTTGTTTAATCGTGGGGCATTTCCATGTTCAAATGTATCTTTCTCCACAACAGACCAGTGAAATAACACTATAATAGTGTTAAGTCTAACACATCAACATATGATCTCCGCCACTAATTAGAATGCTTGCTCTCTTCTAGTGACAGAATGGAAGCTTGTATTTCAAAATGGCCATTAACTCTTGTTACTGATTACTTGAGGATACTCCTTGTTTAAATTCAAATATAATCATCCCCTTTTTATCCTATTGAATAGTTTACAATTAAACCCCAGGGATATCACCTTGCACTGCAAGGATTAAATGCTCTTTTTTGTCTAGGGTACCAGTAAAAAGCACATATACTTACTTTATCCTTATTTCCCACAGGCTCCTCCCATGCAACTGGCCCTGTAGCCTCTTTGGTGCTGTGGCCGGTAATCAGAGCTGTGGTTTCATCACTTACAATGCAGGGTTGGGGGGACATATACTATTTTTTTTTTTTTTTTTTTTTATAAAAAGGATTAGTTACCTCATTTGTAATATTCACATTTTCTTTTGTGCAGATATCCAGAAGTCTTTGTGTTTGTATTTTATCAGCAAGCGGTTTAAAACGAAACTTGGAACATCGAGATGTTAAAGGCTCAATTATTCTAGATGAAAAAGAATAGACATACTGTATCAAAGCCAATGGTAAAACTGGATAAGTACTACCATTAAAAACATCTAGTCACAAGGTATTTTCAGAGTTGAGAGTAGTGGTGAACAGTTTACTAGATACAGTATTAGGCTCCTCAAGTACTGTCCTTTGCATCACCAAATATTTAAACTGTAAGAGAAAGCTACAGATGTGGATGGAAACAGGCTGCAAGGGACAGTCAGAGGCTGACATGTTAAATGAAACTGCAAGAGATCATTGCCAATACAGCCCCTTTTACAAACCAATGCAGTCCACTCCAGACACCATAGGAATTATGTGTAGTGGATTGTGATAGACAGTCCACGTTCTATTAGATGATCAGTAAAATGACAATTTTATAAACTTACTACTCTCTGCTGCTTGCTCTCTATATTCCTTACTCTCTTAAGAAAACAATCAGATATAGGGCAAGGGAACAATGATAATTAAGATGGTGCCTTCAGCCGGAGTCTCACCCTAGGTGACTCAGAAGAAAAGTATCTTTTAACGTAAACAACCCCCATAAAAGGGAATGAGTCATTTTGGTGACAATGATTGGAAGATATCAATACGGATGGAAGAACATGCAGGAAACCTAGGGGACTTTTCACCCAATCATCGTATATGCTTCGCCTGTGTCATGAGACTTATAAATGTTACTGTTATTTCCTCAATAAAGTAGAAATTAGGAAGTTGGCAAACTGCATTCTGTGCCAGTGTCTTACTTCCACGTGCACGTATTCTCACATTAATTAGGCTCACTGGTAGATCACAACAGCTGTGGTCGGTAAGTGATCATGTCCAAAACAGATGTACTAAAGTAACAAGGATTGAGTTTAACTTGTTTTGTTTAACTGAATAATACATTCCAAAGCAAATCAGTTTGTATTTTTAAAGTAAATATGTTCACTTCACATGACGTCAGTTCAGTCCAATTTAATATAATCACCCCACATGGCTTCAGTTCAATTTAATAAAATCACCCTACATGTCTGAATTAAGTAACGCCAAACAAGCCATTAAAACAAGTAAAAAATATTAAAGCAAAGTCAGCCATGAGAAAAATCACAGTTGCTGCTGTGAAAAATCCTTTCTAAAAATGCTAGATGCCTTGCTGTCATTGTCTTCAATTCTATGTTCCAAACAGGTATGCAGATTAATACATCTTACTTACCTCCTTATTTTCCTTATTTAAACACGTGTCCCAGGCCAGTGACTCAGCAGGATAGCCAAGCAGATAGCATTTTCACAAGAAAGGTCAGCAATGGTAACCCTCTCTGCCACCATTTTTTTTTTTTACAAACCTATGGTTTACTTTGTCAGATAAAAAAAACAGCAAACTTCCTGCCATCAGAGCCTATTTCAGTATAACTAGGTGGCAGCAAATACATGTTGCTGTCACTTTGTGACAGAAATATATCTATATTTTTACCTGCTGACATAATTGCAAATGAGGCAGAATCGAGTTGTTTTAGACTCTTTCTCCATGGTGCGTCGCAGAGCAGCCTGTGCTGCTGATGTCATGGAGTCTGCTTCATCCAGAATAATGATCTTAAATGGGGGACAAGGCTTCCCACTACAAACAAGCACAAAGCCAGTTATGAATAAACATGACAAATAGGAATGCAAGGAAAATGCATTATTTTTTCACTGCTAGAATAGCAAGGGCACACAATAGCAACATTAATGGTAAGTGTTAGCATAAAGTAATAACCTCGGGCAAAATATAGTAATGAAACCTAACATGCCTCAGTATGCTTTTAGTGCTCCAGTGAAAATAAGGGTTAAGCAAGGCATAAAATAGGATTTCTCTCTCATTGAGGGACAGTCCTAAACCTATAAGTTATACAAACGCTTACAGGAGAATTGAAGACAGGCAAATAAAAACTGTATGCCATTATGAAGCGGTGCGTTTCAGGCGGCCATCTTTGTTGTTGGAACTGTGTTTCTGATATCCTCTGCACACCAAAAAGCTGTGAGGTCTCTGGATTGAACTGTGGTTATGTGGATCTGTGTGAGCCGATGAAGGCAATAAACCAATGCTTTTTATCATCTCTGAACATGTGAGTGGCCTGGTGTTATTTTAATACTGCTTATGGTATTAGCAATATCACACTATGGTATATTTTTTTCTTTTTGCACCGCTGGGGAGCTTTTAATAGGAGTGAGTGGAAGGAGAACATCAAGCCATACAAGGCGGATAAGGAGCTCTGGAAAATATAAAGGGGGTTTAGGATCCCTAAAATCCTAAAAGGCGTAATACTCACCAATATCTGGTGAGTGCGGTTGATGTTGATTTTGCACGGGTGGATGGTGGAAGCACATTTCTTTGGGAGAAGATTATTTTGATTATATATTTTGGAAAGAAGGACTTTTTATTTAAAAATTTTTTTTTGTTTATACACATTTAATTTATTTTTTTGGACACATTATAAATTATATTTATTTTTTATTTATTTTTATGTTGGTTTTGTTTATTGATGTTATTGATTTGGTGAGGAGGTTTTTTGATTTGCACTGTTTACATATTATTATTCATTATGGAAAACTCCCCCTTTAGCCAGCTTACCTCGGTTTTGCAGCAAAGCAGTACATGAACATAAAGAAGGGTGGGGACCTGGGTCCTTCAATGAAAATGATTATGGTGAATACAAAAATCCTATTTTCTTTCTCGCTCATTGAGGGACAAAGGAAGAATATGAAAGCAGTCCAACAGAGGGGTGGGCTACACAGCAAACCACCATTAACAGGCCCAAGAAAACAAAAAACTGGGAAATTGTCTGCAGCTCAGTGTCACTTGAAGGACCTTATGTTTGAAGCTGGCATCAGATGAGTCCACAAAAACCACCTTGCGGAACTAGAGACTATTTAAACAGAAAAGTTGGCAGCCTTGCAAATCTGGAAAACATTACCTTGATGCCAATAAGCCCAAGAAGCAATCACAGATCGAGCGCCCCTTGATCTTGAGACCATAATCTTGAGTGATAGTCTGAGTTATAGAAAAAAAAAAGAAGCTGGGGTACCCTGATGGGGTCCAACCAGGATTACAAAAAAAGAAATTGATCTTTTTGAAAGAGGCAGTGGTTGAGAGGTTAACTCTCACAGCCAGAACCACAGCCATATAAAAGGAGGAAAATTTGCATTTGGTGAACTAGAGCTGGACAGAAGGATGGAAGAACTATGTTCTGCTTGGGGTGAAAGATAGAAACTACCACCTTATCAGTATGCGGAACCAGAAAGGGTTCTTTGCAGGATAAAGTCACCATTTCAGATACTCACCATGCAGAGGTGATGGCTACAAGAAATACTATCTTGTAGGTGAGAGTAGAGGAAAGAATGTCTCTAATGGGTTTAAATAACAGTTTCTTAAGGGCAAAGAGAACCAGATTAATCACCTGCCCTCCAGAAAATGTACCCCCCCCCCACATATCACATGAGGGGTGCCGGGATCTGGGGGCCCCCTTGTTAAATGAATGAGGGTCACTGGAATGCCCTCCATCTCAATTCTAACTTCATGACCAGGCCATTTACTTCTATAAGGTGTTGCACTATTTTAAACGGACAATAGCATGGACATGCAACATTGCACTCATATGAAAAATCATTTTTTCACACAAATAGAGCTTTCCTTTGGTGGTATTTGATCACCACTACTGGGATTTTTATTTTTTGCACTATAATTGAAAAAAAACCCCCGACAAAATAATAATTAAAACAAATAATTATTAAGGTCACTTGGGATGGAGTCACATACGTGATGTCTGGGTGGCCCCGCCCCTTATATATTTAATAACTGTCAAACCACTGGAGCAGGCAGATGGCCGGGGGGCCCATCATTGGAAGCGGAGCCTTTTTTTAAAATTCGTTTTTCAGGGCAGCAGCCGACATCGTGATTGACGTTGGATCTACTGCAGGGGACATTCTTTTATTTTTTTCTTTTAATAAAGTACTTGTCAAAGACCGTCCCCTGTATTTTTCCACACTTTGTTTTTTTGTGAATGAGTAGTGGTACCATGTACTCCATACCCATTCACATGGGGGGGCTGGGATCTGGGGGCCCCCTTGTTAAATGAACGAGGGTCACTGGAATGCCCTCCATCTCAAGTCTAACTAATATTTATAGATAAAGTTGATCCAGGGAATATCCGATTGCCTCTCGAGGGATCAGGAAGGCATTTTTTCCTCTGCAGGAGCAAATTGGATCAAGCTTTGCTGGGTTTTTTTCTTTCCTCTGGATCAACTGGGTATGGGATTATAACTTGTTTTTTTTTATGGTTGAACTGGACAGACTTTTGTCTTTTTTCAACCAGACTAAGTAATTCTGCAAAGCAGATGCGGAAGAAGTTTCAGGGAAGGAAAGGTATAGATTATGCTGTAGGAAGTCCAATAAAAATACACCATAACACATGTGCTCTACCCTAAACCATGTAGAAACACAGTAATCACAAGTAAATAAATACCACATTTACAAAATACCACATACATCAGGGTAGGCTGATGAAAGGAAACATGTACCTGCACGACATCTAGACTCAGGCAACTTGTCATCACAGTGGGCATAGCTTCTTCCAGACAAAGTATCCCACAATAGAGAAGAAAGCAACAGGGCTAACACTGTGGCCTGGATCTTGCTGAACAACTAAGGTGCAGGAAGGGGGCTGAAGGGCAGGGCCATGATCTAATAATAGTAGGCCCTAGTTAGTGTGCTGCTTAGGGAGCAGTCAAGAGTCCAATCCTTGGTGGTAGTGGGACTTGTCTCCATACTAAATGTCAGCGCTTGAAACCAGGCTCCTCTAGGGGCTCCAAGTCCTTTGTCTGACACAAATCGTATCCGGCTCCCTGAAGTGCAAGGTCACCCACCGCCATGCCCCCTGGGACCCAGTAAAGCATCTAGGGTCCATAGACTCTGTTTTCACAGCAGCAGAGGGCTAACTCTTGAGACTAGCAGCCAGTGTGGACTCTGCATACAGTAGATTTACTGTTAAACTAGCCAAAGACTATAGACTCAGAGTGGTCAATCCAGAACTTTAGTCTGTCTAAATGTCAGCTACTGGAACCAGCTTGAGGCTCTATAAAGTGGCACAGTATGGGCAACCTGGAGGCTGTGGTCAGGGCCTTCAAAATGAACAGAAAAACAATAGAGCTGAAGAAAAAAGGTTAAATTCTCCTGAAGACACCAGCAAAAAAACTGCTCAAGGCTGGTCCTACAGTTTTTGTGTGTCCAGTTCTTTTGTGGGTAACCTGAAGACCTGGGAGCTGAAATACAGGGCTTTCCACAAGATGTCTCTTAATAATGACTCACTCACATGAGCCATTAGGTGCATACAGCGGATTCCTGCATCAAAAATCAGCAGGTTCTTGAGACTGGGTGTGTGAGAACAGTTGCAGCAGGGAAGCCTGTACAAAACAATGACAAGCTAACAGGAGCCACAGCTGCTCACATGTTCCTGCACATTCAGAAGTTAGCCGCAGTAAGAGTTGGATGCATAACCCTGGATGCAGAAAGACTGCATCCAGGGTTGGACATCCCCTTTCAAAGTCTTATAATAGATAGAACACGTTAACTTATTTTCAAAAGCAATTCCCAACATTTTTTTTTTAACAGCAGCTTTCATTAAATACCTTGTGATCCTGCAATGAAGGTATATGTCAAATCACTTCATGTTATGGTGTGACCAGCTCAGCTACTACACAGTCACTTTGTCACACACATCCCTGGTGAAGCCCACAAGCAGCTGTGCTGACAAACATTGTGCAGGCATGTTCTACCGTTGTCACCAGAAGGAATTCAATACTATGCATCGACCTGCAGCCAAAGCTGGGGTAAGTGCATGTAGACAGGAAGTGGCTGAACAAGGCTAAAACCAACCACCAGTAGCAAAAAATGATTAAAAAAAAGGAAACAGCATTTTATTTTTCATTTAAAAATGGTAATGGTATAGTTAAGGTATAGATCTATCGAAATACCTTTTTTACATTTCTAAGCGCACACTAATGACTGCATGCACATGAGCTCACAGCCATTTATACTGAAGTGTGGATTTACACCAAGTAGAAGATTTAAACTATTAGGAATCAGATTTACATTTCAATAGTAATTATGGGGCAAAGCTAGGTTTTAAAACCAATCCATATGCAGATAACATAAAAGACAGTTCTCTCAGGGATGATGTCTGTGTTTCAGAGTGATGATCAAGGTCTCAGAGGAACCCCCTTAAAAGGAAGTGAAAGCAGATCTCAAATATATGAGCAGAAGAAATATGCTGCTTACTCGGGACGGCTGCCACCAACTGTGAGCTGAGAGAAATTCTTCACTTTTTCACGAACCACTTGTATTCCTCTTTCATCAGAAGCATTTAACTCAAGCACGCGCTGCCGAAACAATTCAGGCCTGAAAATGAAAAAAGTTACAAAACTCACAAAACAAAAAAAACAAAGTTTACCAATAACCAACAGTTTAGTATACCTTAAAAGAAAAAAAAAAAAAAGAAAAAAAACAAAGTATCAATTCATATGAAACAAATTTGTTATTAATAGGGGTACAGACATATATACAATAGTATGATAATGAATAGGTTCTACTTTCACCTTTTCACTGGATGCTTCTGCATCCAGTCTTGACTGTAGCTAAACACAGCATGCCCTAGTAGTTAGATCTTATCCACAGGACACATTCATTGGTCTTTCCCTTGCGAGATCCTACCTCTCGTATACACACACCCAGTCTTCCAGTAACATCTCATCCCCAGACACACATCAGCCCTTCTCCAGGGAGACTCCCACTGCCAAAACACATTGATCAGCCTCATGTAGCCTTCCTCTAGCACACACAATCTCCAGTTACCTGTACAGAGTGTGAGTTTGTGTTAGAACTCACAATTTACTCTGTGCTGCCCCATGACATGCACGCCACACTTCTCAGTATTCATGCCAAAAATTAGATGGATTTTTCCCCATACACAGAACTACTTATCCAGTTTTTACCAAAGCAGTGTACTTGCAGAAACCCTTCAGTGACCCCAATGCAACAGGTCTCCAGTGTAGGAGTATTACTTTAGTGATCAGTTCCCATGATATTAACTCTAATCCCAGATTCACCTATTCCCATTTTATGAGTATTAGTGGTTTTGGTCTTCAGGTTTTTTTTTTTTTTTTTAAACAAATGTACGCCTAGATTGATTCCCCCTGAAGGTAGACCAACGGTGCTCCAAAGTGTCTTCCTGGCAGTTTAAACAGCATGAGAGTATAAGGTGAAGAGTTGGCAACTCGTTCTCCCGATAAAAGTACTTTATTGATAAAGGATATAGTGTGCAAGTTGCAGCATTTTATGCATTTCAGTAAAATAAAAACCTTATTCATAGAAAATGAATAAATCTGTCAGTAGTTTCCTTGCTTAGGTACAAAAAATACTCAGACTGGATTTTGCTGGCTAAAAGGTTTGTTTTATTTTTTTTGCACACTTACTATTTTCTGTGCTAAGAGAATCTTGGCGAGAGGAATATCAAATGGCTCTTGTAGCATGTCTGCAGTCTCTGGCCATCCCCGGTAGCATGTGTGCAGTCACTGAGCATCCCTTGTAGCATGTCTGCAGTTTCTGACGTCCCCTGTGAAATGTTTGCAGTCTCCGACTATGTACTTTAATATGTCCAAAGATTGATAGTTTTCTGTGTCGTTATATACATTGAATATTATATGCAGCCCTTTGGTGACATCAGAGGCCCCCTATATTAAGTACATTTACAACTACTGTTTAAAGGATAAGTTAATCTTTGACAAAAATAAAAAATGCACGTAAAAAAATGTGCATTTATTATTTTTGTGTGCAGCAGCCTGGAACAGCATTACACCAGCGATCAGTAGGTGTATGAGCAAGCAGATATTCTGACAGGAAGCTTCAATGAACGACCACGGACCTCCACAGTGCCTTGGTAGTTCATTGAAAACTACAAGCAGACAGCCGCTAAGGCGGAGCCTTGCACGGCTGCACTGGCACTGTTTTAACCTCCCTGGCGTATGATTATTTCAGATTTTTGGTGCTGAAAGCGGTACCATTATTTTGCATGGAACTATGTAGTTTTTTATTGTAGGCTGTAATATTTAGGAATAACTCACTGAAATCTGTCTGAACAAGAGTCTATTAAACATCCCGGGTATGATAAAATTTGAAACACGAAATCATAAATTATAATGTAATAAATAATCATAAAAAAAATAATAATAATAATACATTTATTTCAATAATATAATCAAACCAAAAACACTGAAATTTGAAATATAGCGCCAAGTTCGCACATTGCTGAGCAAAGTCGCAGAATCGTTTTTAGTGTCTGATGACGAATTTCCCCACGAATCATTATCACTCAATTCTGCAAGTGGTTCTGATTTACTATCGCTGTTCTCTAGCTGATCTAAACCCACTTTTGACCTAAAGGGACACTTTTTGGACGCCATGGACTTTTCTCAGTTTCCAGGCAGAAAGAACAGACAAAATGCAGGCAGGGCACAGGACAAAGCACTAGGGACAAAATGTATGTGAAATGGGTTGAAAACAGCAATGTTTTACTATGTAAAATTTGTTTGGAAAAAAATGACATTTTTTAAAATTTTCAAATTTCCCGCCGGCGCCCGTACGTCCCGACGTCACAGGGACCGGAACACAGAAGCCAGATGTCGGCATCGGCCGGAGGGGATGGCCAGGGACGCTGCAGGGGACACATCGCGGGAGCGCAGGACAATGTAACCTCTGCAGGGAATCCCTATGCAGCGCCACATGGTAAGCCCGAGTGTAGCTCGGGGTTACCGCTTTTGGTACTGACATTTTACCCCGAGCTACACTCGGGAATACCGCTAGGGAGGTTAGAGTCTGACATAGTATGGGGAAACTTCTCCCCGTACTACCTGCCAGAGGGTCGGGGTGCGGCTGCTGCTCTGGGAACGTTACATGTTCCACCAAAAAAACGGGTGGAACATGTAACATTTTCTCAAAGGTGAACTTATACTTTAAAGCCTTGATTCTGAAATTCTCCCAGCTGCTACGATCTGTTGTTTGGAACACATCCTCTATAAACAATTATGGGCTCACATCTTGAAGGTGCAATTCAAAGAATTAAGCAGGGCACTGGAATGGAGTGTAAAAGTTTCACACTCACCAACCCTGACAGACTGATGTGCAGCTCTAAAAATTGTAGAAACCAACAATAAAGTGAAGCTTTGCTTACTTGCAGGAATACCTTCACATTGAAAGTACTTTACAGTGAATTATTCATCCCTAGGGAATGTTTTGTGAATATCACATTCACTGCTTTATAAACACGCAGGTATTGTTGAATGACTGACTTTACAACATGAATACCCAGAAAATACAAAATAGCTAGGATCAGTACAAAATTGGAAACACTAAACAGGTGAATGCTAGGTTAGCTGCCAGTATAAGCAGTGATTGCAGAACTTCAACTGGCAATACAAAACAAAAAATGGGAAACAAAAAATGTTTGTGCTTACCATAATATCCATTTCTTCCAGTTAACCAAAAAACAAGAAAATCCAGAGACTGTTGGGTTATAATACCACTTACAGGAGGATTTTGATGATAGCAAACAAAACAAATTGTCTCCAGTCCAGTACTACCACCAGCTTGCCTTGGATTTGTGTAAAAGCAGTAGAAGAGAATCAGACAGGAGAAGCGGAGTCTGTGTCCCTCAAACTCTAGGGCTGCAGACACAGGGGTTTTAAAATAATCCAATTTGCTGTATCTTTCCGCCAGGAGCTGGCACAAAACTCCAGCGTAAAAAAGGTGACATTTATGTGCGTATAAGGATTAGAGACATATATGCATAATTTTATCCTAGTGGCTAGAATATTCATTTGTTCTAGACACTACAAATAAAACTACAGGCAACTGTGCATGTCAATGAACGGATGTGCGAGTTTGTTGCCAGTATGTTTCTCTGTGAATGCAAGTTTTGTGGTCTCTAAACACTGCTCTATTACACAAATCTAAACACCACAATGTGCACTGTCACATTGGCAAAAACAGGTGTGTCCAGCGCCATTACAAAAAAAAAAAAATGCTTCTAAAAGCATATTTTTTTCTGCCCATGTACGCTGGGCCTAAGAAATGGATTTTATAGCAAGCACAAAAATCCCATTTCCTCGCTCATACACTGAGGGATACAGGGATTGAGAGACTGCTGGTATGCCCAAAAACAGTGGCACTTCTAAATAGTAGGAAAGAGCACTGAGAGCACAAGAAACTCTTCCCAACAGATGAAGTCAGCGCTTAGGGTGAATTCACACATAGTGCGGTGACATTTTTTACTGAATTGTAAAATACCTGTTACCGCAAGGACAAACAGAACACAACAACTGTTTGATGTGTGGCTCATTTACACTGCACTGCAGTGTGTTGCAAAAAAGCATGCTGTTGCAATAAAATGCAGCATGCTGCATTTTATTACACAGCACTGTATAGAACCGCAAGGCACTGAACAGCAGCGCAACCTATTATGCTTGCTCTGTACAGCACCATGAACGAAGAGTACTTTTGTACCCTTCAAATAAAGTTTGTACAAAAACAAACAACAAAGGGAGCTGGGTGATTCACTGAACTGCACACTACACTGCCCCCTACTGCATCAGGAACAAACAGCTGCCAGAGAGGGAAAGCACTTTGGCAGCTGCCTGTTCTAATGTGAATTCACCCTCAGTCCCTGTGTGTTAACCCCTACACTGTAAACTGACAGAGAATATGAATTTCAAATGGCACCCAGTAGCCCTAGTACTGCCCAGTGATGCTTTTAGAAAAGTATGTACAGTACCTTGCCAGCCCCTCCCATGATCAGCCAAGAAACTCGCAGAAATGTCAGTAGGTCTAAATAAGGTACGTAATAAAAATTTTTGTACTTGCCATAAAATCCATTTCTTAGGCCCTGTGTACATGGGCAGGAACAATTACGCTTTTAGAAGCATGGAAAAAGGGAATGGATTTATATAAACACTTTATGCATACTGATAAGAGGGAAGGAAGAGCGATAGAAGATAAAATATAATCTCATTAAACTGAAGCTTGAATGTCTTTTTTTAATCTAGTTTTATAATCAAGCCACAAGGCAGATCTGTATTGTCTGCAGGGAATACACTACAACTTGTTTCATTAGATATGATTTAACAGCTAAGCAAATGCCTATCAATCTTCTCATACATAGAGGGAGCACCAGACAATGACAGAAGCAGAATGTTGCAGAATCAGCACAGATTCAACAAGTAGTTTAAATTTGCGATTTGCTTTCTATTGTCACATACCCATATAACTCTCTGGCCGCTGCCAAAATTGTGGATGTTTTTCCAGTTCCGGGTGGCCCATAGAATAGAAGATTAGGAAGCTGGCAAAGAAAAAAAAAAAAAAAAAAAGGACCCAGAGTAAGCAAACACACCAATTTAGCTATGCAGACAAAAAAGCAACCTCTACCAGGGACAAATTTAGATACATTATACAATAAGTGTAGAACAGAAGGTGCATTTTGGTATACACACTCTTAACCACTTGTCTACTGGGCACATTCCCCCCCTTCCTGCCCCAGTCAATTTTCAGCTTTCAGCACTGTCGCACTTTGAATGACAATTGCGCAGTCATGCAACACCGTACCCATATGAAATTTTTATCTTTTTTTCACATAAATAGAGCTTTCTTTTGGTGGTATTTAATCACCGTTGGGCGTTTTATTTTTTGCACTATTATGCCCCCTCAACATCCCCCCCAAATCGCTCCAGATGCTGTCAGTCAAGCGGGAGCCAAGCTGTGCTGTCTGCGTCTATGAAAGCAGACAGTGTGGCTCGGGAATGAACCTGCGAATGTGCCCCCATAGCAAGCGGCTTGCTATGAGGGCACACAAGAAAAGAAGGAGCCAGGAGCACCTGTGGGGGACCGAAGAAGAGGATGTTTGGGGCCACTCCAATAACATTGCACAGAGAAAGAAAGTACAAACCTGTTTAAACTAAATCAGTGTTTACAATCACTAATTCATGCTTCTCTCTAGATATAGCAGAGAGCACTTACAATGCTGCATTTCAAAGGACTCCCAGTACTTAAGAATAGTACAACAAAGCATATAAAGCAGGAGTATACTTACCACCAAATGTGAAATTTGGAAGAGGCTTAAGGGTAGCCATAGGTGGGATGATATCTCAAGAACAATGGGTTGAGAGGCTGCTGGCTATATGTAGCGCCAACAGCAGATGCGGATTCTCAGAAGAGAGAGATTGGCCAGGTCACATGGAGGTTCTCCATCGTTTAGAAAAAGTGCATGCTCAGTAACTAATGCTTCTAACAAACAAAACAACAATGCTTCTACCTCTTAACAATCCTGTCCTTGTTGGGGCAATACTCAAGTGCAGCATTTAACTTTTTATGACTAGCATTGGACATATACAGTAAAATAGGATTTTTATGCGCACTGTAAAATTATTTTCTTTAGAGTTCATTGAGGGACATCAGATTTAGATACTAAACTGGTGTAACCCCTCCCACTACCAACCTGCCTCAGCTTTGCCCTAAAACATTGCTAAGAATAAAACTATAAAAAACACAAAAAGGGTGGGACCTGTGTTCCTCAAACACCAAGAAAATTTTTTTCAATATCATTCATTGAGAAACACAGAATCCAGAGACACCTGGGCCATCCAAACGCAGTCCAACTGATGGGTTGGCAACACAGTGGAGAAAATGCTACCAAGCCCACTGAGGCACTATGCCTCCCTCTAATACTAAAGATGGGGCATTGGTTACTCCCACTCATGGGCAGGACATTTTCTACTTCCACTGGTCACACTCCTGCTCCCTCCCAAAGCCTGAAGAACAGTAAACTGGCTTTTTTGTTTAGAAAGTATGGAGATCCCTGCTCTACAGGAATGGTCAAACGCCTCTGCAACAGAAGGTTCAGAGACGACTAATGATGCAGACAGATCAGATAATAAGAGAGGCACTGAAGTACGCTTATGACCTCTATAGTTAAGGGTCGGCAAACAAAGATGTAATTTGGCCCATGAAGTCCTGTATAAGGAAGCCTTCCTGTTACAAGGTGGAGGAGAGGAACACATCTGATGGAGCCAAGCAGAGACATGTATAGACTTAAGCAAGAGACTATTCTGGCTGTCAGTGTCAGGCCCTTGAGAGATAGCATTGCAGGCTGCCTTAGAACAGTTAGTTAACTGTGAACTGGAGGGGAGGGAACTGATGCAGTAGGACTGCTCCCCTTATGCTGGGATCTTAAATGTGTATAAAACGTGCTGCACTAAAAAAATAAATTAACTTATAAAAGTGTCAAATTTAATGAGTCTCCAAACAAATGATCCTGTACCATGTACTTGTATGAAAAATTATACTGTTCTCTTTGTATTGCTTCCTTTTTGTGAAATCCCTGGAGCTTTGCCTTTTGTTTCTATTTTAAAACTGAATAGGTTTTACAAGGTGAGGGTTTACATTCACTTTAAAATGCAAACAATGTATAAATATCGCAGTTGATGCAAATGCAAAGTACAATTGATGATAAACAAATCGGTGTAAAAAACAGTGCACTCAGTATGCACAATCAATAAACAGCTATGAACATAAAAAAACCCCATAAAAATTCATATTTAAATATGATCCATGTATCAGTGAATGCTCGATATACAAAAGTACAAGCGATGTGCACAACCAATGAAAAATTATGAACATGAATAAAAATTAATATCATACAAGTTGGTGTTCACTCATGATCCATGCAAACTTCTCCATGATTAGCGTTGGATTTCAAATCCAAAGAATATTAATCCAGAAAGGCACACACAGGACTGCCACCAGGTTTCCCCAATGCTCACCTTTAAAACTAGGCACTTATTACGAGGGCCAGTGAAGCTTCAAAACAATCTGGGATCCGAGATGGCTGCTACCGGTGTGTATCTGATGGATATCCAGGTAGTCACAGCAGGTGACAGGACATTCCACTTAAAACCAAAGAGCAACTCAAAAAACAAAGAAAGCCTCATAGTGTAAACCATAAAACAATTTTATTTATTAAAAGCATAAACTGCACTCATATTAAGGAGTAAGATTATCTGCACAAGGAAATACCAAGCTGCTACTTCCTTTCACATTTCAAATCAGCGTAGTCACAGCCGTAGTGTGGGAAAAGGTAACAGAAACTGGCAGCTCACTCTTGGACACTCTTTCCTGGATCAATGAAGCTCCACCCTTCGTGCTTCGTCGTGGTGACGTCATCAGGGGCATGCCTGCCAACTTCTGTCACCCTATTTTGCCAGCTTCGGTTAAATCCAACACTGGTCATGAAGTATGCATGGATCAAGAGTGAACACGAATTTACATGAACTTGATTTTTATTGATGTTTATCATTTTGTATTGATTGGTTGTGCACATGGATCATACTTTTTTATATTGATCCTTCACAGATGACTTCACATAGATCACAAGTGAATATGAATTTATATGTTTATTGCCATTTATTGACTGGTTGTGCATACTGATTGCAGTTTTACACCAATTATTTTTTATCGATTGTACTTTGCATTTGCATCAGTTGCAGTAATTACACATTGTCTTCATCTTTGGTCAGTTTGCACCTTAATAAATTTGTTTGCAGACCTATGAGATTTGACACATTTATAAAGTTAGTTTAATTTTTCAAAAGCATAGCAAGTTTTATACACAACATTTATTACACACACTAAGTGTGCTTGCAGCTTATTATTGTTCTTGATTTGCAAACATTTCATTTATATTTCAGTAAAAAGAGATCTGAAATTTTGTTCTGCTTGGCAAGGACAACTTTTGCTTCGAATACCAGGTAAAACCTTAGGCACTCATGGACCGACTGCTAAACACATGGAAAGTTCAAAGGCAGAGGTGATTAGGTCACTGCAGGCATCATCAAGGCTAACAGAAGTGGAACTGTGCTTCTCTTGAGAATAAAAACAGTGGCAAGAAGGTGCTACCTCATGCTGAATGGTGGAAACAGCATGTGGCATGTGCAACACTCCACCTAGTAAGTTTGCACTCAGTCGCTGAGTGACAAAAAAATACAAGGGCTTAAAAAAAAAAAAGACAGTGCAGAGCCAAAGGCACGATGTCACAATCCAGGCAGGCCTCTCAATCAACCAGGGTGGGTGGGGAGGGATGGGTATGGCATCCAGACCTATTGCTGAGATACCTGCATAAAGAGATTAGCTCAAGCAGCATGTAGCAAAGTCGTGAAGAAAAAAAAAAAAATCTTAAGAGAAAATGGCTAGTAAAAATGGTTAAACCTTTCTCAGCAGAGAAAATGGGGTTGATTTACTAACACTGGAGAGTGCAAAATCTGGTGCAGCTCTACACAGAAACTAATCAGCTTCCAGGTTTTGTCGAAGCTTAATTGAACATGCTGAAGGTAAAAGCCGACTGGCTACCATGCACAGCTTTTGCACTCTCCAGTTTTAGTAAATCAACCCCAATGTGTCCATCCTATTAGGACACTAGCAAAAAAATCAGAAGCATGCTGTGAGTGGGAGGGGTTATACCAGGCTGGTTGCTTTTTTGTTTGCCAGTGTCCAAATGCTCCTGTAGGCGGCAGTATAACACATGTCTCTGAATCCTGTGCCCCTCAAAGAACGAGAAAGAAAAATGTTTCCTCTCAACAATATTCTCACACATTTAAATGACAAGTCTCAAGATTAATATTTCCCAGGGGCCATGTGTCACTGACAGAACAGAATCCCACAGTGGGATACACAGCAGGGTTCAGTACTTGCGTGAAGGCTAATCTAGTGGAAGAATAAGTGCACTCTGGTCTCAGCCACTATTAATAAGCACTAGAAGGAGCAAACTGACTGAATGGTTGTGATTTTATAGAATCCAATACCATTGTAAAGAGATCAGCATACTCACTGGACACTAACCACGCCAGAGCAAAGAGGGGAAAAATAAAAGGAATGCACAAACGACACGCTGAACAACTAAAGCAGTGTTATAACAATGTATTTAGCTGGTACACACAGTAACATTTATTATTAAAGACTGCATTTGGAAATATGAAATATTGTCAGTGATGGATCTTATGTTATACATGCTAACCAATGTGGGAAGGTGACAACATAAAGGTACGCTGAAACCCCTATGATGCCTGCTTATCACTAGATTTACTTTGCTCTGTACCCTGTAAAATGTTGAACCATCAGATGACCCACCTATTCCTGCAACTTTACTAACTGCAACTTTTAGTTGCCATTATGCCCTATCTACCTTATTGGAAGGATCTCCCCTACGTATTCCACAAAAGGAGAGAAACTGGACAGCATTTGCTCCCCAAGGTCAGCTTAATGTAAAAAAATCACTAACGGAAAGTCATCCAT